AAAAAAGAATTAGAGGAGGCTCTTCCCCTGCCAGCACTATGACCGAAGCGGCCACGACCACGCACACCCTAGAGGCGGGGACTTTGTAAGGTTCCATGCGTCTCTTAGAGTCACTTTATTGCTGAGCTTTTGTGACTTTGTTAACTCTTCCACTTCTTTGTTTAGGTCATCTCCAAACAAGAATGTTGACACAGCTGTAGATGGGTTGCATAAAGGAGCATATTGCTTGTTTAGGTCAGGACGAATGAGATCTCTTCGTTTCAGATTAAGCTCTCTATTTGCTGACAACAGCAGGACTGCTGTATGGGTCAAAACATTCCTCTGATCCCCATTTGCACTGTTGCACAGCTGAAGTACAGCATATAAACCTGACAAGAGCAAGGACTGTGCCTTCTGGAAGGCTGAATCATTGTTTCTGGTCTCCTGTCGTAATTGTTGCCAAATTTGCTTGTTTATCTTGGGTGCAACCAAATTAGTGCAGTTTTCAGGTCTGAGGTACTTGTTCTGTACCTCGCCAACTTTGCTTTTTGTGAGCTTCTCTGTAAGCAGACTCTTCACTATTTCTGCCAAATTTGCATCTATGGCAGGTGAAGTTTCTCTAGAACGCTAAATTCATCAGCGAGTGATTTAAAGGAACCGCCATCCGAGCCTTCAGCAGGGTCTGACGTTTTTGGCTGGATAAAATCATTTATTTTAGTTGCAACAGTCGTTGCAACAGCTGTATCCGAACACTCAGTGCTCGCTTCACCGCTCTCAGGGCCGGTCTCATAATCTTCAAAATCGGCATAAACCTTCTCGATAGAGTCTTGCACGTGAGCCAAAATGTCTCTTTTGGCATCATCTAAAAGTTCAGCAAACATCGCCTTGAAGTCCACGGGCGAAGTACCTCCAGAATTTGTAATTTTCTGAGACTCCTCAGACATCGTCTGAAGAAATTAAGATGAATAAAGAACACGTCAAGCTTTTTGCACGACAAAATGGCGGACTCGTCCGCCACGTGGTATCAAAACAATCGGTCCAAATAACCAGCTATGTAGCTAGTCACAAACTCGTTGAGACTTGTAAAGATACGGGGAAAGGGTATAAACGCGTTACACCACAATTGCTTAAACTCTGGACACGTCCAGGAGTCTTCTCATAAAATTATAATTCGGCAAAAGAGCCGAGACCGCCTGTGACGCATCACAGAGCACGAAAAAGGAAAAAATCCAGACAATAACGGCTGGAAAATGTAATGTGGAGCGCGTCCACAGTAAAAGAAAAATAAACGAAAAAGTAACTGTAAACTTACCGTGATAAGCAGCTGCCAACGGCGTAGAAATATCGGAGAAAAATACACACGACTAAACCCACGGCGAACGATACATGCACTGACCTGCGGCGGTGCGTGCGCATCTCATGGTAACCCAGATGTATGTAATGATTTGGTAGAATTATTATTTGTAGCTACTTTATTTTCCTACTATGTACACTTATGTAAATATCTTGTATAGTGTGAATAAAGAATTGAATTGAATTGAATTGAATTGAAAGGCCTAAGATCCACTGGATAGTGATTTATCCAGCGGATAGTGCTATCCACTCTTTTGAACAACTGGGGCCAGCTTACCCGCAGGGCTGTTAAAGCAAGATCAGCTTGAATCAATCCACTTCTAGGCTCAAAGGCCCCACACTCTGAAGATGAGAGACTTAACCCTGGAAATCGTTTGTTGATTTCATCTCCTGTCAGTTGCAAACACTCTTGTCCCACACCCCTCACGTTAGTTATCACTCTCGACAGGTCATCGTAGGGTGGCTCTTCTATCGTTAATAGTCCACACCTCCTGAAGCCAGAAAGCAAATCCATGCTAAGATGACAAGAACAATGCCCATAAAAAACAACTGCTATTTCTACCAGTGATCACTTATTTGTCAGGGATGTTATTAAGGGCTAGGAGCTAGGGATTTTCACCAGCTACGATGAGGGTGGTCCCCTGCTACTTTCATAAAATAAAAATAATAAAATAGAACCAAAAGAAATTCTTAGCTTTTTTCTTCCCATCCTACAAGTTTAACATTCTTACCCAGAAACTTACAATCATAGAGACAGCCCTGTATGTAGTCTCTTTTTTGTCACAAAAGCTCCATTTCGTTATGTCACAGATGAAGATGAATTGGGCCAACCAGCATATGTATATGATTATTAGCTGATTTACTTGATCAGATTTTCACATCCTGCTTATTAGAAGACTAAAACATTTATGTTATAGTACAACTACTATAACCAAGGCCACCTAGACAAGGATGACCAATCGGATTACAGGAAAATAACAATACAGCCCAAGAAAGTTAGTTGTCAATCATAATTACCACAAAACAAGATAAATGTTGCAGTTAATTTTTTATTTTAGTTAATTTTTATATTTCCTTTGTTTCAAATTCTTTAGCATTCATTATCATACCCAAAAACAATGGAAAAATAAAAATTAACTGAGATAAAAAATTAACTACAACATAAACAACATGCAGCTAAATCAACCAATTACAGTGATGCCAACTCTCCCACTTTTTGCCTCGTCTCCCGCTCTCCCGCTTTGGTACATAAATCTCCCGCTTTTTACGTCCACTATAAATATTGAATACTTAGTAAAAAATAAAACAGACTTAGTTTGAGATTTAGCCCATTTTTAGCTCAAAACTTGAATTTTTCTTATTCGCAGTATGGTTTCTGGGGCATTTTTGTCATTGACAAAGATTTTTTCTAGCATTCGAATTTCGATAGTATGTACATCATGTGACACGTCATATAATGCCTCAGTCATTCCCATTCCGGGGGGGGGGGTCGTTGAAATTCCGGGGGGGAGTAAAAAAAATACAGTCTCCCGATTTTAGGTCTCCAGAGGTTGGCATCTCTGTAATTACAACCTACAGAAATGACCTTTTGAACCCACTGAAGTGTTTCCCATTGTCCATTAGAGTGAGTGACGGGGGCAAAAAAACATAAACCACAGTTATATTTTTGACTTGTGGTCACATGTTATTGCAAAGGGTGGCAATAATAGAGAAGAAATTGTTGGTAGATGACAAAATAACAGCTTGTGTCAAAGAAAGATTTCTCCTGACTGTTGTATCCAAAGTTTTGAATAGAAAAACATTGTGTGGTGAAACATTTTGCTTTCCTGAAAAACATTTTGCTATCAATATTAAATTTTGTGCTTCAAGAAACTTATTACTAGTTGCTAGCTCGAAAACCTTACGCTTATCTAGCCGTTAGGCATTTCCTTCTATGTAATAATATTTAGTTTAAATTGTAATTGAATATTCTACGTGTTAAGTTACTAATTATTCAATAAGTTTGACAAACCCTTTAATGGAAATGTGAATAAAGTGTTGTTGTTGTTGTTGTTGTATTATTTTTTTATGAGCTGCTGATTGACGCACAACCAACTTCCTTGGAATGTAATGTTATTTTCCTGTAATTTGATTGATCAACTTTGTGTTACTGGTCCTGTTTATAGTAGTCGCACTGCAACTACTTTTAATCTAGACCAATAATTAGGTATTGACAAAATAACCCCAGCCTATAAGGGAGACACATTCAGGGGACACAAAATTTGGTCCAGACAAATGATCACAATTTTATAATCTTTGTAAACGAAACATCTATTCAGGGGAAAGGGACACTTTTTCTGGCTCCCAAAACTGGGTTCAACCTCCATTCAGGAGACACCTTAGTCCTAAAATCATGACTGACCTGACACTAGTAACAATGTTACACAAACCTTATAAGAGTTCTGCCAGCTCTCTTTTCTATGTCACTCCACATTTCAAATGCCTCAGGCATTACTGCTGTTAGAAATGACTGTGAATATCCATAACGTACCAGTCTGCTCTGACCGTGTGAACTTCCACGACAATGTGGAAGAGGAAACTATACAGTGCAACAACAACAAGATTAAATTAGTACATTTTGGTTTCCATGGCAAAGTTTGCAACAGAAGCTGCCAATTTGGCAAACTTAAATTTAGTCAGCCATCATGTCCGAAGCCGTATTGTCTTTATTAGATAGTATTTTTGGTCTGTCCAAAATATACAGATTGTGTGATAAGCTATTTGCACAAAAATTATTTATACTCTGTTCCCGGGGGAGGGGGACTCTGCATATGAAAGGGGTGGGGATGCTTGTCGTCTCGCTTAGGGGTGTAAATTTCGGATTTTGGTCTCACTTAGGGTGTTCTGGGCAAAATGCCATCATATTTGCTTGTGAAGGTCTCGTTAAGGGTTGCACACGAGAAAAATTATATAAAAATATATATATTGTCTGTGTTTTAACATGGTCTCTTTTAGGGGTCAAAAAAAGCTTGGGCCATGCCCCGATCAGTCTCCCTTAGGAGTTTAATTCAAAATTTCTGACGAGTCTCAGACAACCTAGTCACCCTCCCCCACCTCCGAGGTCGTGTTTGGTTCGTCTCCTCAGTGGAACGCTCCTCCCCTTAAAAAATCCTGGCTGCGGGCCTGATCATTTTTATTTATCAAATGCTACATATAATGAAAGGAAGACTAACTATAGGTATGTGAAAGAAGCACCACTTTTCAATGGAAGGTACATGAAAGGGATACCTTTTAAGTAAAAAAAGGCATATAAATGGGGAAAGGTTGGACCTTGTGGCAGAACTTCCATGTACAATACAAGAGTAGCAGAGAGGAGTGGGATGTGGGGCATTTACAGTATTGAGCTTTTTTCAAGCATTATTTCGGTAATTTTGATTTTAATGTGCAGTATTGCGGTGTCATCTAGCCCTACGGGTATAGGGTTTTTCATCCTTTTGGTGAACAGTATTTGGTAAGATCCTTCATGGTATTGTGGTACCATTTATTTGTACTCTCCTGTCTAATACTGGTCAATACAAAGTGCAGCATGAACAACAGTAAGCTAAAAAGCTTAATAAAAATTAATATTTAAGACTTTAGACTTAATGGTAAATGATTACACAATCTATGAGGAAATTGGGAGGGCATCCAATGACCGGGCTTTTCGATCGTTGTACTGATCAAGGTCTTCTCACATTTTCTCGCAATGTCAGTAAGGCTGATTTCTGATGAATACATGCTTGAGATAAACAAACACGTGAGATGGATACAGCTTTAAGTAAACGCGACCGATCATAGATGCGGTACCGGTATTTCGTCAATTTTTGACACATTGTTTCGGTATTTGCCAATTTTTCTTACAGTATTGCAGTATTGGGTACCCCTTAATATCCCCCTCGGAGAGTTCCGTAAATCCTCTATTAAGCCTCCCTCTCTAATAAACCACCCCCCTTCCCTCCATCCTTATTCTACACAAACAATTAACATGTACTGATCAGTTATGGTTTATTTGGGCTGGAAATTCATGTTGTTTTTGGTCTCCAGCTGCATGACCTCCAACTTCATGTGCTTAACTTTTTCAACTTTATGCTCCAGTTCTCTGTGGAGAATTGTTACCATTTTCTTATTGTTAGAAAAAGCAGTATAGCAACCGATAACCACAAATCCGTCCTCGAGAAACCTTGCTCCTGTTGACGCATTTCACTAAATTAAATAAGCCCCGCTCTCTTTTAGCCCCCCTCAAACGTGCTTGAAAAAAATAAGCCCCCGGAGGCTTCATAGAGGATTTTATGGTATCAAGAAAAACGGTTTCGTTTTCCATACATTTGAGTATTAATAAGCTTAAAACAACAGAAATAGCATTGAGCCAGAGATGAGTATAATCCGGATAATTTGAAGTCAAGTATGATATCTGGCGTAGTATTGTGGCAGAGTGCCTTATGTCATTATACTAGCATCCTTCATTATGGGGTTCTTTATATCAGGGTTATTAGGTAGCTCTATGACTGAAAAATGCCCACTTTTTTAAACATTGAAGCATTTATCAATAAATTGTTTCTCCCTTGGTTTCTACGAATGTTTCAACCATCGAGACCGCCCAGCGCTTACAAAACCCCACCTATAAGTGATCCATTGAGTCATATTGGAAAGTTCGGTGCAACGATTATTAGTTTTAAGCTTTTAACCTGTTCCAGTAGAAGTGTATTTTTCCCCCATGAAGCAAGATATCTAGCAGCCGAACTTCCTTCCACGCCAGCTCCCACAACACAGACATCGAAAAGATCACCAGTCATCGCCATCATGAAACAGCCTTGAAATGGAGATTCTACCAACAAAAGGACGGGTGATTCTCGGGAGAGTGCTAGATTTTACCCATATTTACAGGTACAGATATGATTAAAAAACATAAAAACAAGATTTGCTTGTTCTCTTATTAACGTTGTTGTTTACAAGCGCAACCCTTGGAGTAAAACCGGTTCTTTCAGCAGTTCAATGCACAATGTCGAGCAAGGCCTCGGCTCGAGCTTTTATTTTCGCGTGAACGTGCGCGGTTGCGCGGAGACCAGATAGGCTTGGATAAATTCTGCCTGCTGGCAGTGCGCGTAAAAATCGCTTATTGTGCTCAAAATTCTGCTCGGTAGCTGCAAAGGACCTTTAAGAGGCAGTCTCCCTAATACCCTGCGAACAGAGTCTCCTTCGATCTCCTCTTTCCCGACTTATCTAGGAAAGATCGAAGCGAGTCTGCTAGCAGGGTATCTCCCTAAAAGTGTCCCACTCGATTTCGGACTCGACAAAACTTTTGCCGTACTACTACTTTCCATCCTAATAACAAAATTGCAGTTAGAATAAGGAAATTGTTTATTTTACTGCCATTCCCAGCATTTCATCGCTGGACGACGGTTAGCGGCTAAAATATGCGAATTTTAGATGCTGTTTCACAGGTTTTTTAATGATCGTTTAAAAGTATCTCGGGTCATCAATTCCTAGACTATTTGCACTCATTTGGAAGCATATTGCTTCTTCTTACTGTTCCAATACCATTTAGGCATTATCTTTCCGTATTAACTGAGCAAAAGCTCGTCGTCTTCATTTCGCTAATCCAATTAGAAAGCAAAATGCACGCTCAAAAACATCCCCTTTTTTTCCAGTGTGGCACCTAAGCAAGACCTAAAAACATGTTTTAGTGAAAGATTAAGAGCTATTTTGTCAAGATATATAATAAAACTCAGAGGCGGATCCAGGATTTTTTCAAAGAGGGGGTTGTAAGTATGAGAGTTCAGCGCAAACGTCCCAGGGCCAAAGGAATGGGAAAGGGTGAGGGTTAAGGTTAGGGTTAGGGTTATGTTTGAATATGTAGATTTTCTTCATTTTGATTATTAAGGACTAAGAGTACCGTGCAAAAGCGATAGTCGTTTGTCTCTCCCTCTGTGTTTTTTTAAAATATATTTATTGATAATCACTTTAAATAATTACATTTACAATACTACAAAAAAAAAACGCTTTAACAATAGACATTAACAGAGTAAAGCAAAATTAATTCTTAAATTATTACAGGGCCAAAAGAAATTATAAAAAAGTCCAACAGGGCGGCAATGAAATAATACGGAATTAATACAGTTGACTTAAATAAGGCGTCAGTATCCACTTTCT